CGTTCAGCATTCACCGCAGGGTCGGGTAGGCTGGCAGGGTGCGTGTTGCTGGGCCCTGAACAGCGCTGGCACGTTGGGCTTCTGCCAGTACTTTCCCTAAGGGGAAGAATGAGCCCAAGCTCTCGCTTGGCACATCAAGGCGTATTAGCGGGCTCTTGATCTGAACATCTGAATGAGAAGATGCAGTATGGCTGAAATGATTTTCTTTGTTTTTTTATTCTCTTTGTCCTGTCATCCACTTCTAGAAAAGTGTCTCAGTGGAACAAATAGGAAGCAGTGGGTGACAAATATGTATGCCTGTGACATTTAAGCGAGGTTGCTCATGTGCCTGTGGTCCCACCAAGATAAGCAGCCAGCACTGAACACAGGCAACATTGGAAAACTCCTGAGAGCGGATTGTCTCTGGGCCAAGCAGCACTCTTGGTGGCTTTTGGCCATCCCTCCAGCTCTGCGTGGGGGTGTCCAGCCCCATCCTCCAGCGTGGTAGGGCAGGTGTGTAACTGTGAGATCTGTTCATGAGATATATGCCCTAGAACAAGGGTGAAATCCCTTTGACTGGTGGTGTACCTGTGCACAGCTGACTGTCCCAGGGCCCACATATAGCACCTAAAGCTGGGAAGACCTCTGTAGGTCTTGGTCCTTGGCTACTGATTCTTGCACCAAGTTTCTATATAAACACTCCTTAAGTCTCTGTCACAGCTCTGGCTCCTAGTCATTGTACTAGTTGTAAAATGGAAAACTAAATTCGTGGCTAACTGTACAAAGACTGTGCAGCTCTGGCACAGCTTGCTTTAGATTTTTGTAAAGATCTCACTAGCAGGTGACTTTGCCCAGCTGGGGGCACCAATTCAAGATGCAGGAAGGAGAACCGAGTGTTGAGGGCAGGTATGACCAGTCTTGAACTGCTGGAGCTGGATTGTGTTGCTTTTATGTCTTTTATGACAGAAACCTAGAGGTACAAGACCCACACAAGTTCCTGAAATATCTCATGCTGCAGATCACTGCTTCAGCAAGCAGCTGTGGTGAACAGCTTCAAAACACAGTGGGGTGTCTGGTGGTGCAGGCAAGGCTTTGAGGACACATGTGAGTGTTATTGGTGCGGTTGGGGGCAGAGCAGAGCCCTTGATCAGGAGAAGCCTGCACACATTTGTTGGTAAAGCGTGCTGTCCTTAGATTGCCGTTTTTGATGTTCAACATGCAAACCACTGTGAAGCAGCTTTTCCTGGCTTTGCAGGAGAGAAAAACACCACTTTACTTTTACATTAGGCACTTGGTTTTTTTAAATGTGGCCCTGATGCAAACCCACGTACTTCAGTGCAAGTCTGTGAGACGGAAGAGCAGATTACTCCAGACAGTGTTTTGCACATGCCTGTAAACTGGTGAGGCCAGTTTCACTGCCATCACTTAGAAACTTGTGGCCACTGCAGCCTTGTCCTGAAGGACAGAGATGCTTCCGTTCTTGTCTCTCCTTGTTGTTATTTTGGAGGGAAGAAGAGGGGGGGGGGGAAAAAAAGACCTTTTGACTGCAATGCTTGTTCAGTTCAGAACAGCAAAATGTATTACTGTGTACTGGATAACTTGTCCTGTGCATAACGTACTAATTCCTTGGTGCCCACGGCCACACTTGGGATCTGATCTTCACCCTTTTCCAAGAAGAAGTGTCTTCAGCCCTGCCTCTTCCTTTGCGTGCAGGCTGCCAGCAGCAGGATGGGTTTTGTTGTTCCCCTCTGCTCTCGGTCTCGGGCAGCAGAGTGGAAAAGCAGCTGCCTCCGTCTGAGTGGGCTGCTGGAAAGGGTGGTTGGCTGCGGGGTGCGCGCTGGGCTGATTACTCAGCCCCTGCTTGGGAGCGCGCAGCGCTCCGGTGCTGAGCTCAGAGCACCTGCTCCAGCGCTGCCTCGCCGTGGGAGGAGCAGGCAGCAGCCCCGCGCCCGCAGCCCAGGGCGGAAGCTCTCTGGGGTTTGCTGCTGCTGCTCGAGGCTTTGAGAGGCGCAGCACCCGAGCTGGGTGTTCGCTGCTGCCGAAGCCATGCAGGCGTATAAAGGCAGAGCTGGGTCTTCCCCTGGGACTCAGTCTGGGCCAGCCCCAGTGCCTTTTGGCCGCCGCACAGAAGATCACAAGAAGCACGTCCAGGCCATCCCGCTCCCAGCCATGCAGCAGAACTTGAACTACATGTACCCTCAGATCTTCTGGGAGGAAGGCTGCACCAACCCCAGCACTTCCTGCCCCCCGGCACCCCCCGCTGCCCCCTTCCCACCGCCAGTGCCAGATCGGAGGAAGAAGCCAAGGAACAACAGGGAAGAGAAGAGCGTTGGCTTCCTGGTGGTCTCCTTGCTCATGCTGCTGTCTCTTGCTGGAGTTGGACTGAGCCTGTTTCAGATTTTTCGCCTGGAGAAGGAACTGGCTCAACTCAGAGAGGTAAAGTCTGTTTGGCTCCTCACCGAGGCTCAGCGGGGAGGACGGCGGGGAAAGATGCCTTAAACAGCATCTGAGATGCTTTGGTGGTATGGAGTTCCGCCGGGGCAAACATTTGAACATCTGCCCTCTTAGTTGTTCTACGCTGTAGGGCACTGCTCTGAGAGCTACGATACACCTGGATGTCTCTCAGTTTCAAAGTGCTACATGATCTTTGTCCCTCTACAAGCAGTTTCTTACTGCCTTGTAGTTCTCCTTGAGTGTCCAGACCTAGACAATGTCTAAGACAGTCCTTAGCTGTTCCAGGTGGTGTCTTTATGTTTTTCCCATGCTAAGAGACCTTGTCCTCTTTTCTTTTGATAGTCTGCCAGCACTGAACACATCTCTCCAGCTCTGGAAAAACTCATAGGTGAGTTGATGGAGGTAGAGGGACTCCCTCCTTGTAGCTTGTCTGATGCTGCCATCTTGCTCTTTCCCCCTTGTGTCAGCGGGCCCAGGCAGAGCTGCAGCTCTGATGCTCTGAAAGCACTGATTTTATCCCTTTGGAATGAGAAATGTATCTCCAGGGTGTGAGGAGGTAGGCCCTAAAACTACCCACTTGGAGGAGAGCTGTTTCTGTGTCACTCATGGGAATGGAGGCAATCTGCTTGAGGTCCAAGCTTGGACCTCCCAGTCCCCAGTAGTACTATAGGGGCTCGACAATGAGAGTTTCTAGCTGCCCTAACATACAGCAACAGTGTGCAGAGAGATCCCAGACAGGCAACAGTAATATCACTTCTTTGTTTCCTTAATAATCAAAATTTTGTGAGGGTGTAGACAACTTCATTTTCTTTGGGAGTGGAAGATTCACTTCTTCCCCTGAGGGCAACTTTTTTACTAAGTTCTTCCAGTACAAAGTCTCATTGCAGCCAAAGTTAACTGAGAAAAGCCTGAATTTTTTCCTTCTACAAAATATAATTTCAATGAAATTGAAACTTTCCACAAGAGCCTTCATTTTTTTTTTAAATTTCATTTAGGAAGAAAATTGTTTCGGTCAGAATGGAAGAATATTAAAATTATACTTGAAGTTTTCAGACTTTTTTCTTTCTATTTTTACATAACACATTAATGTTAACAGCCATAATACCACTTTCCAAAGAAGGTTAAAGCAGAAAGGGTGTTTTTTTTTTTTTTTTTTTTTTTGACAGATCTGAAATTTTTTCCTGAGGAGTTTGTTTAGTAGGCAAGTAAAGCTAGGAAAATAGTATAAAGGAGAAGAAGAGAGGAAAGGAGAGCTTAGCTGGCCTGAGCAAAGAGGCTTCTCAGATTCTGAGAACCTGGTGCTGATGGGGTCCAAGTACCCACCTGTTTTAGCAACAACTGTCCTCTCCGACATAGTCCCGAGCTTACTGACTGGACTATTTTAAGATGAAAGTTGTCCTTTTTCTCCCTCGTTCTACCTTTTAGCTTTGGATTAATTTGGACCCTTTACTGCAGTGCTTCCTTGCCATGAAGCATTTGCTTGAGCCCCTATCGGTCTCATTCCACAAAGCTGTATTGCCTGTGGGCCCTGAACCTGCCCCATTTCAGTGTTACAGGCAGCCTCCTTCTGGTCTCTGGACTGGCTTCTCCATGAAGCATGTGGCTAAAGTCTTTTCCATTCTCATGTAGGGGAGAAGAGCGAGTCAATGAAAAAAGAAGAGAGGAAAGCGGCACACTTAACAGGTATGGGCTGAAAGGCCCACAGGAGACGCGGTGGCTGGGGCAAAGGGGCACCCTCTGGATTCAGTTCACAACACCTCTCTGGTTTCGGCTTTCAGGGAACCCCAAGCAGCAGGACCTCCCTTTGGAGTGGGAACCCGTATCCGGACATGCCTTCACTGCTGGTATTCAGTACCGCAACCAGGGCCTGGTGATCAACGAAACCGGCCTCTACTTCGTCTACTCTAATGTGCTCTTTCGGGGGAGTACCTGCACCAGCCAGGTGTTGACCCATGTTGTCTACAAGAAAAACCCAGCCTCCCCGGGCAACCAGGTGTTGATGCAGGACAAGAAGATCAACTACTGTGCCAACCAGAAGATGTGGGCCCGGAAGAGCTACCTGGGAGCCCTGTTCAAGCTCAGGGAAATGGATAGTCTGCATGTGAATGTTTCCAGGACCACTCTGGTTAGCTTTGAGGAATCGAAGACTTTCTTTGGCGTGTTTAAGCTTTAAGCAGTGCTGTCGGAGTGGGGCTGGCTGCCCCGCATGCACTAGGACACATGATGATGGGCTGAGCGGTAGCCAACCCAGCCGCCTGGGCAAACTGGAGCCTTGTACCAGGAAGCCCACCAAGAAAACCATGTTTTGGCCTTCAGAAGGAGAGGGCTTGAGTGCATGGATAAGGTCCTCCAGGGATTGACAGCTGGACTCTAGGAAGCACTGGGTGTCCTGGAGTAACCTGAATAAACAGCTCGTTTCCCCTGACCCCACCAAAAAATGTGGAGTGCACCAAAGACCTCCTGGAAACTCACTACTTCGCTGCCTGAGAAGATGATGGCACCCATGTGGCACCTTGGGAGAGACTCTGGGCCTGTGGGGGCATGTGAGAGCCAGCTGGAGATGGAGAGGAGGGTGGCTGGGGTCAGTATGCAAGAGGCTGCACTGCTGATGTGCCTCCTTGGGCTTGATGCTGGGGCCATGGCTGCCTGGGCACCTCTGCCGGCTCGTGAACTGCGCGTGATAGGTTTGTTTTGTGTTAAGTTATGGACCATTCTCATCCCCCAAAACTATGTCCCCCTTCCCCCCTTATTTAAGTCACCTCAAGGGCTTCATGACCTTGGAGGAACATTCCGGAAGCAGCGAGCTGGCTTCGAGTGCTTCCCTTCCCCGCCCTGTAACGAGCCGCTCTTTTCTAGATAAAGAAAAATATGGTAAATAAAAGTATATTTTTCTAGGAAGTGGTGCTGTTTTCAACACACTTGGGGGGAGGGGGCTCCTGTGAAACCCCGGCCCTGAGGCCAGGGCCCCTCTGTGGTGTTCAAGCAGTGGGGTTGGGCATCCTAGCAATGCTGCTCCTTGGTGGCGTGAGGATCTCCAAATGTGGGCCGGAGCTTGAGTTGTGTGGGTGGGCAGGTGTGGAGAGACGCCTTCGTGTCCTTCCTCCCCTTTCCCGTCTGGCTGGGGGTTGAGCGGGGCTGCGTGCGTGGCTGTGACACGTTGTGGTGCTGCGCCCCCGGTGCTTAGCAGCTCTGGTGTTGGTCGCGGTGTGCGGCGTCCATGGCAGCAGTGCTCGTTTCCTTTTCTGTGGCGGCTTGACGCTACACAGCCTGTGGTTCCCTGCAGCCTGCCTTGTTGAAAGGTTTCTTTGAAGCGTTTAAGTAAGTGGCCTGGCTTGGGGTGTAGCCAGAGCAAGGTGTGTGCCTCCTGCTCACACAGCTGCCGCTGCGAAGCCCAGCGCTCGATGCCCTGTTTCTTAGGCAGGAAGATGCCTCAAATTGTCAAAGTTTAGGGACCTTCTTTGCGGCTCTTCTCACCTGCCTCTGCCCCTCTGTTCATTTCAGAGGGACGTGTAGCACAGGAGTGGAGGTGGATCCAGACCTGACCAGGGCAGGCTCGAAGTTGCCGCACACTTAAACTTGTATGTGTGCACTCCTGTAAGCTTGCAGCTGTTTCTGGGGTGAAGCTCGCTGAATATGTAGGCACCTGCTTCCATTCTTAACAGCAAAGCAGGCTGGGGAGATATGGGGTGCCCAGTGGGGCAGATGCTATTAGGTTATCACATTAGGATCTTGTCAGCTGGACAGAGCTGGCTTTTCTGTGCAGGATGAGTCCAGGTGCTGCTAGGCTTGAAGCTGAATTGGGGAGCAGACTGCCACCATGTTGAGTGCAGCACTATGTGTAGTTCTTCTCTGCCATCTCTTTCCCCAATATCTCTGTAGCCTGCCCAGAGCAAATTCACTGCTCAGCTTGTGGGTGTGCACCAAAGATTCACAGCAAAGCCATGGTAGCATCACCTCTCTTCAAACCACGCAGAGTTGATTCCTGTGATGCTTGTGCCACAGAAGCTTTATTGAAGTTTTCTGTTGAATTATCTAGCTAAAGATCCATTTGTTTAATGAAAAATGGACTTAATCTTAACATGAAATACTCAATGGATACTAGGACCCTGATCCAACTGAGTGCCCTTGCCCAGCGATGAACAAGTCCCAGCAAAAACCCCAACCTTGTAGCTGAATTGCAGTGGGTCTGAGCTGAGCAGCTCTGTCCTGCTCAGATGAGGCCATGCAGGCCACATGCTGAAGTACACTGGGATTTGGGAACATTCAACACTTAACTGGACTCTGGAGAGGCTCTCTCCCTGCAGACAGTGCAGCCAACGAGAAGTGACAAGCCTGCGTGATCCGGCCTGAGGAACCCAGCACGAACCACGCCAGCGGGACATCCGTTGCAGGCATGCAGGTTCTCTCGTGCTTAGCTGAACCATCCCCAGGTAACGTTCCCAAGCGTTTGGGGCCTGTGAACTTGGAAACAGGCATGTTGCTGCCTGGGTGAGACCAGTGAGCTGCTTTATAGCGATATGGGCTCTCCTTTAGTTGATATATGTGATACGTTGCACTATCCCCATGGAGGAAAGCAGACGGCAACATGCCAGTATTTTAGAAACCTTGGTCAGGCTCTGTGTACATATAAACACTGAAGGGGCAGGAAAGATTGCTTTATAGAAAGGAGCGTAGGGATATGGTAACTGCTCCTTCCACAGCAAAAGAAGTGCAGCAGAGGCAGAGAGAGGAAATCGGATGAGAAGAGCATGGGGAGCGACAAACAGGACTGGGGGTGTCTGTGGCACAGAAACAGCTGCAGATATGGCAGGGAGGGTCGCAGATGCACAAAAACCACAAAGCTTGTTGTTTGTAATTTGCTGGAACTGGCACTGTTGTGAGGTGTTACACCAGCCGCTGCTTCTATAGCCCTCCAAGGGAGGGAGCGAGCATGAGTAAGAACGGAAGAAGTGATTTTTCTGCAGCCGCTCGTGTCCTGTGAGTCTAGGCAGCCCCTTTCTATTTGATCTGACAAGTTTCACGGTTGTTTTGGCTTTACGCTTATTCACCTAATGAAGCCAGCCCCATGCTTTCTAAGTATCTATTACGAAGTTTGGCGGGGTTTCTTCTTCTAGCCTGCATGGCTGTAAGAGTCTATGTAAGCCAAACCCTTACCAGGTTGGGAAAGAATGTTGGCTAGTGGTTACAGCAAGGGAAAAAAAGGGAGAGAGGAAGACTTAAATATTAATATTATTTTTCTAGCACTTAGAAGTGTGAACATGTTACATCATGGTTACAAAAATCTAATTTTAGGCATGACTAAGTGACTGAGGTTTAATGTAAGCGAGAGAATGAGGTGAGTAAGGAGAAGGGGTTTGGATGAGACAAATTGCACATTAATTTCTTGCTCATTAAAAGAAGATTTAAAAAAAAAAAAAAGAAAAGCAGTGGAAAAAAAGCTTGATAATCTGTTTCTGACTCATTTCTTGGGATAATACAGAGTCAGATGTTCCTTTCTTTGCATGTTACCAAAGCAATGACATGGGAGAACTGGGACCACGTGGTCTGGTGCAGGAGACTGGGGTGCTGTTCTTTACTGGCAGGGTGTGTGACAAAATCTTTTTACTTTGGTAGCAAGGAGCAAAAAGCTGTCAGCAAAATAGTGAGTGCCCACGTGCATTCCTCTTTCTTACTTGCTTTTAGCATTCTCTGAATGGTCCAGCTCTCTGTAAGGAAATTCAACCTCTCTCTAAAGAGATTCAACTTGAAAATTATCTCTCTTCCAAATCATAGATAACATCCATCTCTGTCTTTTACCCTTCTCTGCAGCTAGTTTTATTCAGGAACTTTAACAGTTCTTCCCACCTGAAGCAGCGTACAAGTTGACTGATCACGGTGGATGTAGTCCTCTGGATTCCCCTGGAAGTCAACAGAGAGATTTGGTAGCTTTGAGACTTCCCACTCTAACAGATATGTTGACATGTGGAGTGGCAGGGGACTAGCAACCTTTCCTCTCCTGTTTGTCAGATCAAACAGGACAAATATGGTGCACATTTCTCAGACCGTTCCCCTGAAGCTTTGATGAAGGCCTGTTAACCAGCTATGAGCTGAAAGCATAAGTGAAAAACGGTCACTTTTTCATGCCATTTCAAATACGGCTCAAGAAATTCAAGTTGTCTTTAGCACTTTATTTTTGTAACTGCTGTGAAGAGATAGCACTTGCACCTGATACCTCGTCTGCACTTATGACAAATGCTCTGGCAGCAAAAGCAGATGTACTTTGCTGTAATTCTCTGGCTTCAAAAGGACCATTTTATTGCTCCTGCAGGAGAATTTCAGCATGTTCAGGAGATAAATCCCACTGCTGCATTTGGTTTGAGTGAGAGTGGGCCGGCTGGCTTGATTTTGAATGAGCGGAAAGTGTGCTGTGGCAGCTTCTGATGTCCCTTGCTCCTGTGCTCTGAGCCAGTAGTGCATGGCCTTGCATCTCAGCAGCTCTGCCAGGTGGCACATGCCCAGCTTGATGTGCACGTGCTGCTTTGCTCTTGCTGTCAAGAGCTGATTTAGGGCTCAGACGTGGTGGGGAGTTACTGTGACTTAGCAAATCACTGGAGCAGAGCTGTGGCCATGGTAAATCTGAAAGAGTTTGGAGGGCGTTTCTGCCACCTGCTCACACCTGCTGCTTACTTAGCTGAGCCACCAAAGATTTGGGTGAGGAGCTTTGCTGGGGCTCTTGTGCTGCTCTACTTCGTAAGTTTTCAGCAAGGATAGGGAATGAGTTTTGTAGGTTTGCTCAAAGCTTCTACCTTGCATCCTGCAGAGACACAGCTTGCTAGGCTGAGGGATGTGAGCTAGATGAAGCTGTTGTAGGAGAGAAGAGGATGCTGATCATTTGAGCAGCCAGAACTACCCTTGGGTTTAGCCAGGTCTGCACGTGCAGCTTATGTGTCTCTTTCCTTTCTCCCTGCCCTGGAAGTGTTTGGTTTGTTTTCAAGTGAAATCTCTTCTACACTGGGGGGACCTTTGTGAAAGAGACACAGAAATGGTCTTTCAGCCTGAACAAATTGTCTGGAGGAGCCTATCCTCAGCATGCCCCCAAGTGCAATGAGAGCTGTGTTTGGGAGGGCAAATTAAGAGAATACAGCGAGCAGGAGACAAAGTGTGGTCCTGGAGGGATGCCATACTCAAGACTGT